ACCAGGGTCCCAAGGAGCTTCTTCACGTGTCGTAATGTTTCTGTTAGTCAACGCTGGGTTTCTATGTATAGGTCAGTAGTTAATTCCCGATCAAAGTAGGTCGGGTGTGCCTCGAGGCCAGATGAACTTGTGGTCGTGGTGCCAGTAATTGATCGGTAATCCATACGGTCGGGTTAAAGTAGGGGTACGGTCGGTTCAGGTCGGGTCGTTATTGTCTCGGGCAAGGGATCCGGTACTGACCATCATTTATGCACAGTTCTCAAGGTATATTCCCTATCAAGGGTGAAAGAGGTTAATGAGAGGTAAATATTGAAATTACCAAATTGTCCCTCTATTTAACACCAAGTAGGCGGAATAACAAACTGAGGACTACATTGAGCAAAAACTCACAAGTCTAGGGCTACATTGGGTCACATAAGTCGTTTAGGACGAAATCGAGAAAAATCACCATAGTCGATGACCATTTGAGTATTAACTTCAATTGTTTTATACCATAAACCAAGATCCACATTGCAATTTGAACTCTGGTTCAAAATGACATCCAAATTATGTATTTGTAGTTAATATATTATATACTTTTCAGTTTTTCAGTTAATAAATGATGTACCTATTACAATTAACATATTACATACTCCCCCGTTCCATTTTGTTTGTCTGATTTGGTTAATGAGACTTGATTGAAGTTATTTTTAATTCAATTTTTCATAATATTAAGTTTAATATTAGTATATAAAATTTATATATTTAAAAACTATATTAAAAGTACTATTAAATACAGAAAATGAAATATAAAAATAATTTAAAAAATTATTAAAGAAAATAAATAATTAAGAAAGAGTTGATTTGACCAATGAATAGTAAACATGACCTACATCCAAAATGAGACAGAGGGAGTATTATATATCTACAATTAATAAATTATGCACATGTTACAATTAACGTATTATGTACCTAGAGTGACATTATGTATCAAGGTAACAATTAATAAATTATGTACCTATTAAAATTAACATATTATGTATTTTCAATTTATATATATATATATATATATATATATATATATATATATATATATATATATATATATATATAATGAAAGGTTTAGTGCGGTTGGGTGCTTCCCGTGCGGTTGACTAATGTGCGTGAGCTTTGTACTTTCACCGCAATTATTATTATTATTATTATTATTATTATTATTATTATTATTATTATTATTATTATTATTATTATTATTATTATTATTATTATTATGAGATAAAGGAGATTCACAACAATATTGCTACTTCATTATGGGATGCTAGATCATGATTATACTAATAATTTTATTTCAAAATGTTAATTTTTTTGAAGAAAAATGTTAAATTTTAATATGTAAACAAACTAATTTAAATTTTATGAATATGTTATCTTTTGTCTTTTTACATTTATCAACTTATCAAAAAACTAATTTTACCAAACACTTTCAAGCATAACAACTACCTTAACAGTTCTTCAATTTTCAGCTCCTACCTTATAGCTTTTCAGCTTTCAGCTACCTTTTCAACTAGGTTTGTCAAACATTGCAATAGTTATGCCGTGCATGTGGTGCATACGGATGCCAAAACGACGTCGTTTTATTAAAAAAAAACGCGCGTCTCTCCTTTAAAAAAAATTCAGGTTCGATTCCAAGCAGCAATATTATATTGTTCATTCATTCTGGAATTTTAGTTCATAGATTATGGAATTATAGTTCATTGATTATGGAATTATAGTTCATCAATTATGGAATTGTAGTTCATCGATTCTGAAATTTTAGTTTATAGATTATGGAATTTTAGTTCATTCATTCTGGAATTTTTAGTTCATAGATTAGATTATAGAATTATAGTTCATCGATTATGGAATTATAGTTCATCGATTATGGAATTTTAGTTCATATGTTGTTGTTGGGAATCGAATCTGATTTTTTTTTTTAAAGGGGAGACGCGCGTTTTATTAAAACGACGTCGTTTTTGCATCCGTATGCACCATGCATGGTGCATACGGATGCACAACATAATTTGCCCAAAAATTGTGCCTATAAATATTAAGGCCCTATTTGGTAAAAAAAAAAAAAAGGCCTATAGGCCAATTTTAGCTTATTTGACCACTATAATTGTTTAATTTAGTTAAAATATCAATATAAATATTTGGTTAATTAGCTTTTTGTATCTCTAAAAGGCTAAAATTCAAAAAGCTACTCCAAGCAATTTTTTTAATTAACTTTATGAGAAATTAAAAGAAATTATACCAAATAGCTATCAGCTAACAGTTAATTTACCAAACATTTTTCTATAATCAACTAATGTTATCAACTATTTATACTCTCTAATTAATACAATCAGCTAACATCTAATATCTAACATCTATCAGCTAACAGCCATTTTACCAAACTGGGCCTATGAGTTCAAAATTGGCCTTTAATGACTATTTTCATATTGTAAAAATACATTCGACACATAAATAGTTACTTTTGTAACTATTAATGGTCAAAATTGGAACTAAACATACACTAACTCTATAATTTATAAAACAACAATATAATTTTTCTTAAATTAGAAGATAAAAAACTGCAATTTTTCTTAAATTAAGATTGAAATCATATTTTTTTTATATAAAAAAAAAATTCAAATAAGCCATCGAATTATATGCTAAAAAAAGGTAAAATAATTAAACTCATGGGTTTGATGCACTTAAGTCAAAAATTCGGTAAACCTAAGATAAAGCAAGTAAAATATGATCGAGGGTGTTTTGTAAATAGCTGTGGCTGATAGTTGTTAGCTGATTGAATTAGTGAGTTTGATTAGTTGATAGTATTGGGTGATTGTAGAAAGATGTTTGGTAAATTTGCTGTTAGCTTATTAGGTGTACAACTTTTTAAATTTTAACATTTTGGAGCAATAAGCAGTTACAAAAAGCTAATTAACCAAACACTTACAGGGCGTTTGGTTGGAGGGCGGGAATTATGTGGGAAAGGAATTGTAATTCCATGGGAGTTGAATTACTGGGAATAAAGTGGGAATTTAAATTCCAGTGTTTGGTTGACAGGAATAGAATTACTGAGAATTTCAATTCCAATGTTTGGTATACATGGGAATTGAAAGGGAATAAGTAGTATAAAGTCAAAAATGTCCATTATTGTTGTTAGACATTAATTTTAAGTTGAAAAAGGAAAGGGTAATGTTGACTCATCACTATCTTTTTTTCCCAGGAATTAAAATACCAGGGGGGACATGGGATTTTAATTCCATGAAAATGGGGGAATTGGAATTGTAATTCCCTCCAACCAAACTACGGAATTTAATGGCCTTTGAAATTAGGTGGGAATTAAGTGGGAAGGGAATTTAAAATCCCTCCAACCAAACGCCCTGTTATAGGTTGTTTAACCAAGTCAAACAACTAATAGTGATCAAACAAGCTAAAATTGACCGATAGACTAACTATTTTACCAAACAGGGAGGGACAATGATGTGTGAGTTTTTAATCAAAAAGATAAATTAAAAAATATCTCTTTTAACATATAAGGGAAAATGGCTAAGTTTGGTCCCTGAGTTATAGTGGTAGTGACGACTCAGTCCCTGAGTTATGACCGTATCCATTTTTAGTCCCTCAGTTATGAGCGGAGTGGCGCATTTGATCCCTGACCATTAAAACTGACGGAAAAATTTAAAAATATTTAAAATTTTAGGTGTAAAGTAGGAAATTCACATTTTATTCACTTTCTTATATTGAAACCACTTTTGCAACATTATTTTCAACTTCCTAGCATTATATTTCAAGGTTCTCCAATTCCAAAAGCAATTCAATAATCTTCGTATTACTTGTTAGTAATCTGAGTCTTGTATAAGGAACCTGTGACTCAGTACAAACAAGAGAACACTTGATCATTGTCTTCAAACATGTAAAATACATCATCCTAAAAGTTTCTGATTTCCCTTACTAAACATAATGTTAATCAAACCATAACTTTTGAAATACAAGAAGATATCAAAATTTTCAGGTTATTTTTATGACAAATTCTCCAAGGGAGTAATTTGAGAATTTTAGTACGTAAAATTATTTCGTAAACTCTGCATTAACTTAATCAAGAATCGTATATCCTGACAATATATGAAAATTATATATATATATATATATATATATATATATATATATATATATATATATATATATATATATATATATATCCCTCACCTCCTCTGTCTTCCTAAAAACCTGAGTAATGAATAAGGAACCTAAGACTCAATTATGAAAATTCTAAAAACTTTTGTAATTTCTAAAAACGATTATTGACTAAACTACTACATACAAAAAAATTTTACATATTAAAAATCTTAAGTTATTCCGTTGGTGAATTTCTCATAAAAGCAACTTGAGAAATTTGACATCATTTTATATCTCAAAAGTTTTGGTTTGATTACCTTTGTTGCTTAGTAAAGAAAATTGAAAATTGATAGGATAGTATGATTGACACGTTTGAAGACCATGATCAAGTGTTTCTTTGTTTGTGTTAAGTCTTAAATTTGTTATACGAGAGCCAGATTCCTAACAAGAATGTTATTGAAATACTTTTAGAATTGAACAATCTTGAAATAAGAGCCTAAGAAGTGAAAATAATGTTGTGAAAGTGGTTTTGATATAGAAAGAGAATAAAATGTGAATTTCTTACTTTATCCCTCAAATTAATTTTTTTTTTTAATTTTTCTGTCAATTTAACTGACGGGAACCAAATGCGCCACTTCATTCATAACCGAGGGACTAAAAATGGATACGATCATAACTTAGGGACTGAGTCAGAACTTTGGTATACTTCCGGGACCAAAGATGCAATTTTTTCAAAATATAATAATGGCCGCAGGCCGCTTTCGATAATATAAAATTAACTTGCATTGACTGTGCGACAAAACAAAATCAAAATTCTCAATGATCTCGATTCTCCGAGTAACAATAATTGCGCGTGGACCACGTCCATTAATCCTTCAGTTTCCCCCACTCCCTTAAATATTAAGCCAAATGCTTTCATTCCCAATTCCATATATCCCAAATCCCTACGTTTTGTGAGAGAGAGATCAGAGAGAGAGAGAATGGATGGAGATAAGAGAAAGAGAAAGATGATGGAGAATGTAGCGGCAGAAGAAGAAGAGACCGAAGAAGAAAAGATAGAGAATTTCTATGCTCTGATAAGAAGCACGAAAGATCTCCGGGATCGAATGGCCGGGAAACTGGCGCCGCCGCCGCAGGAGAACAACAACAACAAAGCTACTGGCGCCTGCCAAGACAAGGCGCCGCCGCAGTCGCCGGTGGGAGTTTGGAATCCGTCGTTTCGGCCGGAGGATTTCGTGGAGGAATATACACAGCCGCTTAACATTGTAAGTGAAGCAACAGCAGGCCCTTCTGGTTCAAAGGATAAACAACAAGAAAATAATAATAATAATAATAATAATAATAATAATAATAATAATAATAATAATAATAATGTAAGTAAAGAAGGTCCTGACAGTGAATATGAAGATTATGATCATCGCCATAACTTGGATCTCAATCTTTCTTTGTAGTATGGTACTAGTCATTTGTCATTCAAGATTTTGATGAGGCTTATAAGTTGTAATACTCATTTTTAAACATTCTATTTTAGAAATCTTTGGGCTTCCATGGTAGGCGTTTAATGATAATTTGTTGGTGGAATTAGGGGTATGCAAATTTTGGATAATTTTCGGTTAACCGACCAAATTAACAAAATTCAGTTAACCGTTTTCAAATCGAAATTTTTCGGTTCGATTAATGGTTAAAGAAATTTTAAAATTTCCGTTAATGGTTAATTCGGTTCGAAAGGTTGGTTAACCGAATTAACAGAACGGTTAACCGAAGTTTTTAATATATATATACTAATTTGAAGTTATTGATGTTTAGAGTTTATAATTCATGTTTTTTTTTTATATATTTGTTATGAATTTATTATGATATGTATTTTATTTTAATTGGATTTACTATTTTTGGTATTATTTTTAGAATTTTAAATTTTAACTTTAAAAAGTTCGGTTAATCAGTTAATCGAAAAAATTTTGGGTTCGGTGAATTCGGTAGACAAAATTTCAGTTCGGTTAACGGTTAAAGAAAAAAAGAACTTCGATTAATTCGGTTCGGTTAAAACGGTTCGGTTAACAGAATGGTTAACCGATTGAACACCCTAGGTGGGATGATTTGTCCTTCACCTAATTTGATGTCTTAATTTTTGTTTCTCTCCCCAAATACTCTCTATTTCTATTTAAAAATAAAAGTTATAAATATCTATCTAAAGTTTAATGGATTGAGTTAATTAACGATTTGGTCCCTTGTGACAAAATTATCAATTTGGTCCTGAGTTAACGAACCTCTAACGGTTAGGACCATTTCGAATAAAAAAAAAAGGTATAGTCGAGAACTAAATTGAGAAATTTTGAAAGTTAAGGATGATTGGTGAAATCCTCATATTTAAGGGGCCAAATCGGTAATTAACTCTTAGTGGGATTATTGAGTTGTTAGATAAATTCTTATTGAAGTATTTCCATTGTGATTTGAACCTAACCTCCCATTTGGAAGAGTCACATATGTGTTGTTGAATTACAAGCTACTTGGATGTCTCAATATTAATTAATTAAAATAGTAGTTTCATTCTCAAAATCAATTGACTAAAAGACACGATTGGTAAGTTGGTTGAACAACTTACTTAGACATTCACATGACGTTTGGTTGCAAGTAGGGAATTAAGAGAAAAGAAATTGTAATTTCGTGGGAAAAAAATAAGTAAGAATTCAAATTTCATTGTTTAGTAAACATGAATAGAATTAATTACAGAGAATTTCAATTATAGTGTATGGTATATATGAGAATTGATAGAGAATAAGTAATATAAAGATCAAAATGCATGTGCAATTCTTAAAGAAATATATAGGATTATTAGGGGAATAATCTGGTCCTCACATTCCAAACTTTATTGTGGAAGTGCAATTCTTTGGGGAATTTGCGACTCCTGACCTCAAATTTTAGGAATTGTAATGTCATTTAAAAAAAAAATAATAATAATGTTATACGCAGCAGCCTCTTATCCCTATTGTTAAATAAATTGTTCACTGAGCCTTAAGGTCCCACCGAGACTTAAACTCGGGTTACTGGATTCAGAGTCCAATGTCCTAACCACTAGACCATGGGACCTTCCATGTTTTAGGTATCTTAGAAGATGTCTTTCTTGGCTTCCCTCGCTGGAGGATTGTTGCCTCTGAATTCTGATGTACTTTAATTGTCCTCTCTTTATCAGATTTTCCTCTCGTTAGTAATAAAAAAAAATGTTTACTCTCCTGTGTTTGGACTTATCAGATTGGCATGGCGACCTTGAGCTGTGACCCCTCCGGTGTGGGTGAAGTCTCAATCATGGGATTTATAGGGCCGTCAGGTAGCCACGGAAACTGCCAATTCCTTCTCCTTATTTGAGATTTTATAAGAGCACTACAAAAAATTGCCTATAAGACGTCTGATTTGATGTCACGATTGAAGGCGACAGTGTATGGTCTGAATCCCACTAGAAATATGAATAAGAAAAAAAAATTAGGATGATGGAAGGTGTGAATTAGATCTCTTGTGTGCCCATGAGGACTAGTGTTTGATAGGTGGATTGATTGGCGACTCACAAATTATTTTTGCAGTGGTTCTATAATTAAAGATTTATTTTATTTTATTATTATTTTTACGAAGGACTAAAAGTAGCATTGCCACAATAAGTGAAGACCAAATATAAAAATTATTTAGGCTGTGGACTAAAAATAGACATACCAAAAGTAGAATATGGAGTTTTTTGTTTTGTTTTTTGTTTGTTTGTTTGTTTTTTTTTTTAGGATAAATATCAAAGATATTACTACAAAAGAGCTGAAACAAAGTCAGGTCACAGAGTCCGATAAGGAAGAGCCGAAAGCAGCTCCAAGTCACCACCCTCCAACATGCGAAAAACATTCTCCAACCATTCACCGAAATTTGCTCCTCCCAAATGTGAAATTTCCAGTTGCGACGCATGGAAAACTTGCTGAGCATACACGCACAAAACAAGAGAATACATCTTCATTAAGTACACCACACATTGGACATGATAGGACTACATCCACTCTTATGTTATATATATAAATTGTGATGGTAGGAAGCACATTCATTACTGCCCTCCAAAGAAAAGATTTCCACTTGGGAGGACTTTCAAATTTCACAGTTTAGACCAACACTTAAAATCATGAGGTTGGGAATTTAGTTCTCCCATAATACTCTTATGTCCTCTCTTAACATAATAACAACCTTTTTGGGTCCCCATGCCAGAACCACAAATCGTCATCAGGAGCTGAACTTACTGGTAAACATGTAATACCATCAATGTCACTAGGCAAAAAAATCTCCCAATATTGTGCAATAGGGTCAATTGCAGCCCCACGTTGGTGGCTTGGTGCTATGGCATAATGGTATGTATCATATAGGATTTGAATCACTAGGCAACCCAGGATCACCCCAAACTAAAGTAGTAGCCCCATTACCAATTCTTCGTCTAACTCCATTACAGATAAGATCATAAGAGGCCATAATACTCCTCCAACAAAAACTATGACAATTTTTCAAAGTAGCATCTATAAAAGAAGAATTTGGAAAGTCTCTTGCTTTATAAACACGGGCGGCAAGAGATTGTGGCTTAGTGAGGAATCTACAGCATTGATTTCTCAACATAGCTAGATTAAAAGCACGTAGGTCATTAAACCCCAAACCACCAAACATCTTCGGGACACACATGCGATCCCAAGCCATCCAGTGGATTCCCCTACCATTAGTGCATCCTGATCCCCACCAAAAACAGTTCATAGTATGCTCCAAGCTTTACATAACGAGTCAAGTAACAAAACACACTCATAGAGAAAGTGAACATAGCCTGAGCTACATTTTTAAGGAGAACTTCCTTACCTTCTCACGTTAACAGCTTCTTATTCCATGACTCAATTCTCTGCTTAACCTTATCCTCCATGTAAGAAAAAACTGTCCGTTTATTCTTTCCTACAAAAGCTGGCAAGCCTATGTTCTTACCAAAATTTGCAGCTTGAGGGACACCAAGCAGGACAACCACACTATCACGATCAGAACTTTGGGTGTTCCTGCTAAAACAAATATTTGATTTATGAAAATTGACACCAGACAAACTCTCATAAGTATGTAGACACTACTTAATCACTCTAGCCTCCTCAGTATTGACTTTAAAGAAAAGCAAGCTATCATCTACTAAGAACAAATGTGAGATTGCAGGGGCAACCCCTCGCAACTCTACACCCATAAATGGCCCCCAAATCTTGTGCCTGTTGTAACAAGAGAGAAAGCCACTCAACACAAATAATAAACAAATACGGAGAAAGAATATCTCCCTGTCTCAAGCCCCTGGTTGGGATAACCTATTTTCCACAAACACCATTGATCATAACATTATAAGACATTGTAGTAACACTTACATAATTAGATTTATCCACTTATCTGCAAACCCCAACATCACAAGCATATCTTATTAAAAAAAAGTGCACTTCATTTTATCATAAACTTTGGCCATATCCAATTTCAGGGCCGCACCCCAATCCATTTTGCTCAACTGCTTCCTATTCAAATATAATAGTGTCATACTTCTGCAGTAATCAAGATATAGGGAGTTAACTCAAAAAATTATGTTTTATAACCTCGAATTCTTATTTAAGTTAATAACAAACTTTTAAAAAATCACACATAATAATTATATTTTTCAAAAAGATACAAGAGTGAAACTTGGTTTAAAATTTAGTTGAAAGGTAAAGTTGAAAATAGCATGTATAATTCATATATTCAAAAGTCAGTGTGACATAGGCAACTTATGCTGTGAAAACGTGCCCACCTTGTTTCGTCTTAAGTATAAATCTACAGTGTAGAAATTATGAATCTACAGTATAGAAATTATTAATCTACCGTATATAAATTATTAATCTACAGTATTAGGTTTGTGAACATGTGATAGAGCTATATGTTCAAAATTATAGAGCTATATGTTCATAATTTTCGATATTCCCAATTATTGAACTATGTATTCACAAATCACAGAACTATATGTTCATAATTTGATAACTATATATTTTAGAAATTATGAATTTACAGTACAAATATTATTGAATCTGCAGTATAGAAATTATGAATCTACTGTATAAAAATTATGAATCTACTGTATTTAAATTATAAATTTACGGTATAAAAATTATGAATCTATAGTTTAAAAATTATGAATCTATAGCATAAAAATTATAAATTTAGAACCGTACCGACCTTGAAAGGTCGGCACGGTTCCACAGCATAACGTTCCTGTAACATATGAGTAGGCTTGATATCTTATTGTTACGAGACCAAACAAATCATTATATGTTTGAGTTAATTATTTAAGTCTTTATTTATTTATTTATTTTATTATTATTATTTTTTTGAAACAAAAAAATAAAATAAAAAAATCATATTAAAAAATAAAAAATCATATTAATTAAGATTCAAAGACAATAATTAAATTGGACAAAATTATATAATGTAAAAACCATTTTTAATACTCTATTAGATTTGATTGGAAAAATCCAATTTACCTAAAATATATTTGGGGATCAAATCTTTACCATCAAAGATCAAATCTTTTGGAATCAATCACCATTTTCTCCACTATTTATTGTGATGACTCATTTGTGTTTTTCTTGATGTGCTCATTCACCCATCAATCCGTAGGTCAATGTATTTAACTATTTATAATTGCAATTGTAATGAATCATTCTAATTCTCTCTCCTTTTTTTTTTTGTGATTAATATAATTAATTCTAAAGCAAGTTTAATATATATTTTTTAATTTTATTATTTAGAATAAAAATTAATACCATGAAATTACAAACGTATGTTATGAAACGTTGATCAGAATTAAATTATATTAACGCTCAAACATCGAAACTACCTTTATATATAACATAATAGTTTTTTTTTTTTTTTTTTTTTTTTTTGTGTTTTATATTTAAAGGAAGGTAGTTTGTCTACCTCCACTGAGGCTCGATCTCATGACGTTCAACATGGAAGAGGTCATTATATATCATCTGAATACAATGTGCTTGGCAAGTTAGTTTATTTATATAATTTCATATCATAACATAATATGAGTAGGGACTTTTGCTCGTTTTAAAGTTTTGATATTGTCTTCAAAAAAAAAAAAGTTTTGATATTAAGAATTGATTGATTGAGATTAACCTTTTACATTAATGAAGATATGGCAAAGTCAAACCCATCAGTCATTACCATTTAGCAAAATGATTTGGTCATATAATTAAGGAAAATACTTGGTGTACTCTCATTTTAAACCTTTAACTTGTACTCCCTCTCACATGTTTTTGATGTAGACATTTTGCTGTAGACCCACGTGATGAAAATAACCAATCCTGATTTGCCACCTCAGAGACTATAAATAAGGGAGTAGAATTTTGGGAGTCTATGTAGTAGAACTCATTAATTAATTAGGGAAAAACAGTTTTTTCTTTTTCTTATATTTAACACGTTTCCCAAAATTTTTGGGGAGGAGGAATTTTATTTTTACTCTTTTAGTGTAGTATTCTTCTCATCATCCTATATAAATAATGGAAAAAATTTATGTGAGACCGTCTCATCACCGTGAGACGTGTCGGGTTAAGATAAAAATGTAGTACTTATATGCACAAATGTCATTTCAAATATAATATTAATCATGAATAAATTTTTTGTTACTTCTAAGATCGAGGATTTGGTATGGTCGTGAATACCCAAAACACAAAAAACCATTATTATTCAGGAGATAGTATAATAGGTGTTTGTTTGTTGAGGAATGAGGAGAGGAGCTATTATGTTAGGTGTATTGAGGAATAAGGAGAGGAGCTTAATTTGTATACTCAGGTTGAAAAAGTATGTTGTTTTATGAAATCTTAGCTTGCTTGTGTAGCATTGCCGCATTGGTTAATATCTTCACATTTACCATTCAGTTCATTGCTGCTGCTTCTCTGTTAGATCACTACATTTGCCCATGTGTTTGTTGTGCTTGAGACATAGCCAAAAATGTGTGATATTGACATGATTTGAACAAAAATGTGTCAATAATTCAAAACTCTAGACAAAAATGTGTAAAGTACTAATGTCATTATCTTCTTTTTAAAACCCTATACTATTTGAAAATAAGGTAATTGGACTACCTTCTTTTATTGTGTTTTTGCTTTGACCGGGAAAAGCGACAAAAGAAGACAATGTAATTGCCTTCTTTTCGCTATCTTTTAATTAAAAGTTAAGAAGGCAATAGTATTGCCTTCTTTACTAATATATTAATTATTTAGAATTGCAAACACCATTAATTTGTTTAATATATGTGATTATATGATCTTCAAAGCAATTAAAGAATTTATAATGTTCTTCCTACTTCTATATTTAATTAGAACACAATCCTTGTAATTTTTATTACTTCGAATTTATTTTTTAAAAAATTATTTTATTAAATATTAATTAATAACATAAAGTTTTTTTTTTAAAAAAATAATCACATAAACAAAGATTTTAAAATTTTAAATAGTCATTTATAGTACGATGGCATGGTCAATCTCTCTGAAATGTTCAAGCGGTTGTTTCAGTTGAGTCCTCCGCCTGCTAATTTCCTTAACGAAACAACTGACTTTGTGGGAGAGCAGTTCGCCCACTCTTTGTCCCAGGTACTTGCTTTGACAGACCAACTACTACTTATTTATTTATTTATTGTTAATTGTTTCCACTATATATGTTTGTGCACATGTTAGGTTGCTAGTACGGGCGTTGAGCTATTCGTCTGGGCTCGACTTTCTGCTATGGAGCATGAGGAGGAGTTGAGAAAACTCAAGGAAACGCTAAAGAAACAAGACGTCCAGCTCAGGTCTCTGAGACAATATCCGGGCTCCAATCAATTCCTTCAGGATGCCATCTCTCACTTCGCTTCCCGACCGGCCGACCTACCTAGTCTGGTCTTATCTCTTTGTTCATCCGAGGATGTTGCTCTCCCCCTATTTCATGTGTTGTGACGAGACCTAGTGGGGCTGAAAATGCTTCGTAGGGTGACCGCTTGGGGTTACCATTGGGGAAAGAGGGCCGTGCAGCAATCCTTGCACCAAACTTTGGAAGAGGTCATTCTGGAGGATTGGGAGTAGGTCCACGCTGTGTTACCCGCAGATATAGCATCACCTGGTCTAGAACCTTTCAACGATCCTCTAGCAGGTCTGACCGACTCCTCTAGTGCTGTTTCCAGAACCCAAGACCCTTGAGTTGATGACTTGTATGCTTTGCACTCTTTTTGCTAGTTAGTTTGCTTTTTAGCTTAGACTTGACTTTTGTTTTTGGGTGGCCGACCCTGTTCTTGTGCATGTCAGACTGTCTGTTTTGTTTAAGTATCATATGTTTCTTCATCTGACGTGATTTGTATATAGCTTTCTTTTTATGTGTTTGATTCAACCGACCGGGTGTCACCCACTCTGGCCATCGTGGTACATGTCTTACAAAGACATTGCAACTTAGTTGCAAAAAATCAAGTTTAGTGGTTAAGCATAATAATTGATCCTCAGCCATACAGAGTAGCCAATGAGTAAGACTTAATGAGGTCACTTGTTTAATGCAAACTTAATGGTAAAGATGAGTGTCAAGTGGATATAACCAACTGATCAACTGGCCTAGATCGTGTCGATCAGGCCGGGAAAATCCATCCGGATTAAACCTTAACCGATAGTTCCGAGAATCAACAAGTGAACTTAATCACATATTTGACCGAGCAAGATCGTGCAAGGTATGGTCGGGATAACTCCATCTGGCAAAACCTCAAACGAAAAGGTCGGGAGATAACAAGTGATTTTAAGCACATAACAAGTGAATTTAATCACACACTCGATCGGGTAAGATCATGCAGGTAGGACCGGGATAATTCAACTAGACAAAACCTCAAACGAAAAGTCCAGGAGATAACAAGTGAATTTAATCACACACTCGACCGGGCAATATCGTGCAAGTAGGGCCGAGATAAATCAACAGGGCAAAACCTCAAACGAAACGTCCAGGAGATAACAAGTGAATTAATTTAATCAACCACTCGACTTGGCTAGATCGTGCACGTAGGGCCCGGATAACGCAATCGGGCAAAACCTCAAATGAAAAGGCCTGGAGATTTTTTGCTTTTTTACTTCTATTCGGTCAGTGGACTGGTTGTTGTTTTTTTTAGCAAGTCGAATCACCCTGAGTAGGGTTGAGAACACTCTGCAATGAGATCTTAAAAGGACTTCAATTTAGTCGTTCCAAATACAAACAACATACTAGTGACCCTACACTACTTGTAGAATTTCATGAGGTGCTCGGAGTTCCACACTAAGTCAATTAGTCGGCCGGAGAGAGTTAAGACTTTGTAGAGTCCTTCCCATTTTTTTTGGCAAATTTTCCATGATCGGTCGGTCTACTAGCTTCTCTCCGTCAAAGTACCAAGTCACCTACTTGGAAGTAGCGCGGTTTCACCCGTCTGTCATGGTAGGTCTTGGCGGCCTTCTGATACTCAATCATTCTTCGGGCTGCCATATCTCTCTTCTCATATATGAAGTTGAGTTTTGTACCTTGCAACTCGTCATTTTCATCTGGTTGGTAGTTTATCTCCTGGGCGGTACGGAGCCATGCTTCAATCGACACTCTCGCTTCGAATCCGTAGGTCAGTGAGAAGGGTGTGTCTCGTTGGACGCCTGTCGCGTAGTTGTTCGATAAGTCCAAAGAACATATAAGAGCTCCCCCACCCAACCTCGGCCCGCGCTCTGCAACTTCTTCTTTAGTCGTCTAAGATCGTCTGGTTGGTTTTTTCCACTTGACCATTAGCTTGTGGGTATGCTATGGCCGCCCGGGAGTGTCTGATGCCTAAGTGGGCCATGAAGTTCTTGAACGGTTGACTGTTGAATTGTGTTTCGTTGTTTGTGATCAGGTAGACGGGTACTCCAAATCGGGTGATTACATTTTTCCATAGGAACTTTTGACACTGCTGAGAGGTGATAGTTGTCAATGTTTTCGCCTCCACCCACTTGGTGAAGTTGTCGATGGTCACTATCACATATTTCTTTCGATCGGCCTCCATTGGGAATGCCCCGGTCAGGTCAACCCCCATATTGCGAATGGTATTACTTCGCTGACCGGTTGATAGTAGGTAGCCCGTCGACCGGGTAACTTGTAACGGACTTGCTGGGTGGTTTTAGACAAATCGGCTCCACGGATTAGTCCTTGTGCGTATTTACTCGTCAAGTGCAATATTTGACTTAGAAAAGTTCAGGTCAATGAGAATTTAATTCAATGGAAATCTAATTTCAATGATATCAAGGAAAGTAAATAGTGTAAGATTTGACTTAGAAAAGTTTGGGTTAGTGAAAATCTATTTCAATGGGAGGTAAGATTCTTTTCTCCGAGTGTGTGGGAAGCTACTAAATTTATTTAATTATGTATTTATCCTTTTCGACGTCATGTGAAGAGTCCCTTATAAATATAAAAAATTTGTTTGGAAAGATTTCAACGTTGCTTATCGAGAAAATTTGTTCAGATTGAATTTTTTTTTTTGTATATGGTTTATTAATGAGCAAATACCAATTTTGGTCCTACGAGTATTAGCAAAATGACAGTTTTGGTCCACATGTTTAATTCCTACCAATTTTCATGCACGACTATTGTTTTGGCTTTTCATCCACGACTATTGTTTTGGTGCTAAAATTCATCACACCAGTCACCCATTTGTTTATTATATATGCAAAAAATATGAAATTATTAAGGGTATTTTCTTCTTTTTCAAATTAATATCCCATTTTTTTTTTATGTAAACCACAATGTGGTCCACCCGGTTTGCTCTGAGAGGCATTGAAGCTAGCCCAGAGGGAGTTGTCACTTGTGGGAATCAAACCCGATTATCCCGGAATTCTTCCCCACAAAGAGAGCTCATTTGCCACTTGAACTACCCTGTTGGGTTAATTAAGATCCCAATTTGAAGATAAATAAATGGATTGAAGCCATAAGATTGATCTCAATTCACAGATCTCATCCTCAAATTAAGGTAGGATGGATGAGGAGGAAAACTGCAAATTGAGATCAATTTTATTATTCATGCTCAAATTGAGATCTTAAGTTGAAAAAGACAAAAATACCCTTAAAAATTTTAGATTTTGACATGTCTTAAACGAATGAGTGACCGGCGGATGAGTTTTGACACTAAAACAATAGTCGTGGATGAAAATTGGTACTAAAATAATAGTTGTGGATGAAAATTGGTAGAAATTAAACATGTGGACAAAAACTATCATTTTGTTAATACTCGTGTGACTAAAATTGATATTTGCTCATTTATTAGTTTACAAGTGATTTATTAAACTCTCAATTATTTGTTAGAGGGTATGTTTTTTTTTTTTTTTTTTTTTTTTTAAATGTTTATATATGACAATGATATATTAGAGATTTTTTTAAAAAAAAAAAATCAAAGAAAGCTTAAGCGAACTAAACATAATTATAATTGAAATAAGAGTCAAATATGTCATCGAACTGCACACGATAATGCAATTAAGTCACTAAACCTAAAAAATCAACAATTGGGTCCCTAAACTAACAAATTTCAAACAATTCTTCCAATTTGAAGGTTTCCAACATGTCAACATGTCATCCTTCCAAATTAATTATTTTAAAAAAAATAAAATTTAAAAATTAATTATTTAAATTAAAAAAAAAAAAAAACTAAAAACAGGTCTCCGCCCCGGAGATGAAGAAACCTTCTTCGTCTCCCGCCGGTTTCTTCGTATCCAAAGCCGGAGACAAAGAGTTTCTTCTTCTCCATGGCTGGAGACGAAGAAACTCTTCGTCTCCATGGCCAGAGAAGAAGAAACTCTTCGTCTCCATGGCCAGAGAAGAAGAAACTCTTCGTCTCCATAGCCAGAGACCTGCTTTTAGTTTTTAGTTTTTTTTTTTTATTATTTATTTAAATAATTAATTTTTAAAATTTATTTTTTAAAAAATAATTAATTTGAGAGATGACCTGGTGACCTGTTGAAAACCTTCAAATTGAAAGAATTGTTTGAAATTAGTTAATTAATTTAAGGACCCAATTATTAATTTTTTTTAGATTCAGTGTCCTAATTACATTATCATGTGCCGATGACCTATTTGACCCTTATTCCTAATTAATTTTGTTTTCCATCAAATACATGCATTCCGACCCTCTTAATGATGTTTAAAATTATTACTTGGTGGAAGCAACACAAATATTCAGTAAACTTTTTTTGCGAAATTCGTTCAGATAGAATATTTTGCAGTGAAATTGGGATGATAATGTATCGCATTCACAATAATATATAATCAAAAGCTTGAATTTGCTTGCCAACTCCAACTCAATCTCTTCCCAAATATTGCAGTTTACAATAAAAGTAAAGGTTATAAAAGGAGGGGCTGTTAAGTGTTCAAATTAAAGATCCATATACATACGATCTGAATATATCATATCATGTATGGCGATGGAACGAAAGCATTCATGGCAATTCGATATGATTTCCTGCAACCCTCGCCGAGCATTGAGACCTTAGTCGTCATAGAACTAGGTTTGATTTTGACCGACGATTTCTTAACCGCCAAATCGGAATCAGACAACACCGTTTCTTCCCAGATGACATGCAGTTCCGGTTTCCAGTTCGTTGGGTTTATGCTTCGTGACTCATGCCTAGTGGCGGCGCGGTTCTGACTCCCGGCGGCCGTCTCCGGAGGCGGCGTTATGGTAGCGCCGCCCCAACAAGCTCCGAGTTCCGACAAGAACTCCATGCCTTAATTAGATTGAAGATTCACCGTATCGCTAAAATTTAATTCGAGAGTAATGCAAATTTCATAGAACTTGAGAAAATCAAAATCCAACTAGAGGACATCAAAAAGGCTTGAAATCAAGCCCGAGCTCACCTGCGGGCACGAATGTCGTCCGGAAATGGGCTGGCCTTACGGGCTAAGTTATGCCTCCCACGAGAGGTTGTGGTGCACCGAGAGCACAACTCTCGTGCATCTGTGACCACGAGAGAAATTCCCAAAACCTAAATTAATTATTAAAATTAAAATTTATATATATATAAAAAAACAGAATCCGGCCGGGAATCTGTTTTTTTAAAAAATTTAAATAATTAATTTTTAATTTTTTTTAAATAATTAATTTGAGAGGATAACATGTTGGAAACTTACAAATTGAAAGAATTGTTTGAAATTGGTTAGTTTAGGGACCTAATTGTTGGTTTTTTAGGTTCAATGACGTAATTGCATTATTGTGTGCAGTTCGATGGCCTATTTGACTCTTATTCTAATTTCAAATTAAAAAATAAAAATAAATAATGCAATCAATCTCGATATATCATAAAAATAGAGGTTGAAGCTTGAAACAAAAGTACGGGGTCGTTTACTTCATTTATCTGTTTTTTCATTTCCAGTTTTCCATTTCTCCAGTTTTCTTTTTCCATTTTTTCAATTTTCCATTTCTCCATTCTTCCAATTTTTCATTTCTCAAATTTTCAATTTTGTTAAATACAATTATCCTATATAGAATTTGTACATTTCTACAACAAAGATAATATTAATATTAATAATAATAGAAATAATAATAACAATAATTTAATAATAATAATAATAATAATAATAATAATAATAATAATAATAATAATAATAATAACAACAACAACAACAACGTAACAACAACAACAACAACAAATTTGTGTGCATAAAGAGGGGGAAAAATGAAAATAGAAAAAAAATAATAATAGTAATAATAATAAGTAGAAGTTAATAATAATAATAATAATAATAATAATAATAATAATAATAATAATAATAATAATAATAAGAGAAAATGACACTTTTTCCCCTGAGTTATATATTTATAGCATTTTTTCTCCATGAATTATTCAAGTGGCTGTTTTTCCCCCTGAAATGTTAAATAGACATATTTACCCTTAAAATAAATATTTCATTTATTTTTCTTCTCCAACAAATTATTACCACAATTTGGTTCAAACCAAACAGACACTATAGCAACCAATTACCGAAATATTCTAATTACAATTTAGAATCGAAACCCAATATTTAGAGTTTATTAAAATTGCGAACCGGGACGGCCGGTTCATGTTCCGAACTGAACAAAATAAAATACATTTATTGTCCGGATCCGGTTCGCGAATTTGAACCGTCTTTATTTTAAAATTTTATTTTTTATTTTAAATAATCTAAATTCAATAATAAATGTGTTTTATTTTTTCCAGTTCGGAACATGAACCGTCCGTCCCGATTCGCGATTTTAATACTCTAAGAATCGGGTTTCGATTCTAAATTGTAATTAGAATATTTCGGTTTGGTTGCTATAGTGTCTGTTTGGTTTGAACGAAATTGTTGTCATAATTTGTTGGAGAAGAAAAATAAATAAAATATTTATTTTAAGGGTAAATATGTCCATTTAACATTTCAGGGGTAAAAACAGTCACTTAAATAATTCGAGAGGGGGAGGGGAGGGAGGAAGCGCTATAAGTATATAACTAAAGGGGAAAAAGTGTCATTTTCTCTTTTTACTTTATTGGATGTTGTTGTGTGGACTATGGAGTAATAAATATGTTATGAAAATTAGACATATAATAAGTAATAAATATGTTTAGGAAATTAGATAGATTTTGTTAATTAAAAACAAAGAGTTTTCTAATAAAATACATAATAATTTAGAAATTAATAAATATTTTGAAAGAAAAGACCCGGTCAATATTACTTTTTTTTTTTTTAAATGATGTGACATATTTTTCTTCACAGCTGGTGTATAACATTTATACACTAACAGTATATCAAATATTAATCCTTATATTATTTATCCATTGCTCACGCCAAATGTATTGAAAAAGAATGAGAAAAGGGTCAAATACACTCTTAAACTTTACTCAAAAGTGCAATTAGGCCCTTGAACTTTAAAAAAGTTTAATTAAACACTTAAACTTGTCATTTTAAGTCAAATAAACCTAAATTATTGGTTACCGGTAAATTATTGATGTTGACCGCTGGAAGAAACCAAAAAAAAAAAAAAAAAAAAAAAGCTGCAATTTACGATCGTCTTCTCCTAGAGTCTTCTCCCGAAGAAGATGACGACTGATCGTCTTCTCTAAGAAAAGACGACCGGACTAGTCGTCTTCTCCAATGGTCTTCCCTCTTAAGATAGCATTAAGTCATCATAGTTTATCCCTTCACCATTTTATCAAGTTATGACCGGAATATAGGCTCTTAGGATGAAAGAATTCACCTTTTGTGGACAAATATAAAATCATGGAAACAATTATATAATGATTAATGACAAAATGATATTTTTATTTCCCTTTTCCAGTATGTATGTATAGCTACATTATCATTACATTCACCTTGTCCTATTCATTACGGGGAGTGTCACTTCGGGTGGGATCTAAATTTTATTTTGAATATTTGAAAATTTTAAATAATGTATTTGATACCTTGATGTTTGAAAATTTATTTTTATCAAATTTAAATTTTTTAATAATTTTATTATTTATGTATTTATATTTTTCATATACCATCAAACTAAAAAATAGCACAAAATAATAATAATAATAATAATTAAGTAAGAGAGTTTTAAAAATTAATACAGAATATAATATTAATCATGAAATACATTTAATAATTAATATATAATTCGTATTATTATATTTACAAAATAAAAAATAAAAAATAAAAAAATCGTGTTAGTTCAAATTCTAAGTTATATGCATTCAAAAAATTCTAAGTTATATATGGATAAAGAGAGAATTTCAATTTTAGTCCTAGGACTGTAGGTGTCTTGTTAATTTTAGTTCATGACTTTTAAAAGTGTCAATTTAGTATCTTAACTATTAAATTTTTGTCAATTTTGGTCGCTCCAGCCAAATTGCCGGTCAAATTTCATTGGAAAATTTTAATTGTTAAAATAATGAGGGTATTTTGGTCATTTCACGTCTCTTTTCTTCTTTCCAGGCGTGTCCATCCCTTCCTCTCCCATTTTCGGCAAATGCAATGAACTAAGATGATGTGGGAAGGAGGCTTGATGATATTAAAAATAGGGTTATAGGGAGAAAAAACGCCGAAAACGGGAGAGAAAATGATGGACTCGCCGGAGAAGAAGAAAAGAGGCGTGAAATGACCGAAATACCCTCATTATTTTAACTATTAAAATTTTCTGGCGAAATTTGGTCGGCAATTTGACCGGAGTGACCAAAATTGACAAAAATTGCATAGTTAAGGTACTAAATTGACACTTTTGAAAGTCATGGACTAAAATTAACAAGAGCCTTATAGTCATATAACCAAAATTAAAATTTCCTCTATGGATAAATTTTTAACACCAAATATTCAAACTAAATTTATATTTTCTGTTTAAACAACTAAATTTATATTTGAATATACTATTATTAAAAATATCCAAGTTGATAACTAGTTGAATTCACCCAACATTTAAAATTTGATTCAAATTTCAGGTATTAATTCCGATAATCTGAATTATGCTCACCCCTACTCTTTAACTTTTAAGTCTAATATATGTAAGATTTATACATTTTATACCTAAATCAAATTTATATCCATATATAATATAATTAAAAATATATGTAAACAACTAACTATTAAGTTCACCTAAATTTAGTTTAGATAATATTAATATTTGTGTATTATATTTTCAACATATAGTAGCATTTGGAGGCAAACACATCCAAATTGGTCAGACAGTTAGTTTGATAACCACAAGGTTCTAAGTTTAATTCTAGTGAACCTGTCTATTAACTTTCTTAGTTTAAACTAACCAATCTTTTGTAATTTTTTACCAATTATAATCGCATTGCGAACTTCATTGTAGTATATAATAATCCTTAAAACCAAGTGGCTTATGGTTCATTGGTATTGGATTGCTCCCCTATGTGGGAGGTCTAAGTTTTGAGTCTCAGTGTATAATAATTCTTACAAATTGTCTTGTACAAGCTGTCTTCCTCCCCCTCCCCCCAAATGGATTAATTGGGACATGAACCCCCCCCAAAATGGATTAATTGGGACATGCAAATTAAAAGACACCAACACTAAAATTGGTGTCAATAATTCGATAAACCCTTGACCAGCAGCCAGCCGAAATTGGTCAAAATACCTATGAGGTTCTTATATTATATTTTGGTCAATTTAGTCCCTATATTTTAAAAAGTTGTGCAATTAAGGACAATAGTTAACAATGTTAATATTACCGTTAACTTAAGTTACGTGGTGCTGACGATATTTATATTCCTACTCATATATTACTTTATAAATATCTAAAATTAATTATTTTTACCACCAATATATTAAATTAGTATGTCCATAATAAATAATTACAACCATGTTTCTAATGAGATTTGGACAATTGTTCTTAGTTTCACCACTTTTTAAAATAGATAGACTAAATTGAACAAAATAAAGGTACAATGACTAAATTAAATAAAACACTATAGTACAAAGACTTCATAGGTACTTTTATCGCATAAATTTCTAGACACTGCAGGGAGCAAGATTTTTCCAAAACCACCCACTGAGGCCACCCAACTAATTTGTTTAAAACACCCAACTAACAGCCATAATTTTTATTTATTTTATTTTATTTTAAATCTCCTGTGTCTATAACTTTACTGATCAAAGGAGTGTCGTAATTTGATCCCATTTTTGATATGGCGGAGGACCAGAGCCTACTTAGATGAATTTGATCAAACCGCCACGTTATTTATGAAGGGGAAATGTACAAATAGGTCATTGAAGTATTTAGGGATGGTAATTAAGTCATCGAACTCGAATAAGCTCCAAATTCATCCATGAACTTGGAAAAAAAAGAGTAATTAGAATTTTTAACAAGGTTAACAACATATTATTATTTTTATTATCTTACTAAGCATTTGATCATCTTCCTAGATGCCATATTTTTCTGATTTTATTTTATGACGTGTCGGGTACTTTATTTAAAAATAATTTGGGGCGCGGAGGCGAGCCTCGTGGAATTTGTTGCATTCGCTTTCTGGCCTGAGTAATCTCCCATGGGTGGTAATGGGCGACTTTAACGATATACTGCATCAAGATGAGAAGAAGGGCAGAGTCCCACATCCTCAGTGGCGGATTACGGGGTTTAATCAAGTGGTAGCTGATTCCGGACTTCTTGATTTCCCTTTTGCGAGGTATCAGTTTACATGGCATCGATCCCGTGGTACTCCTTCAATGGTGGAAGAAAAGCTTGACAGGGTCCTTGTTTCTGACTCTTGGATGACTTTGTTCGAAGGAGCACATGCAAGCTCTATTGCTAGTCCGTATAGTGACCACCTTCCTATTCTCCTAGTGCCGGTTGTGGTTGTTCGAGCAGCAACACGCCGTCGTTTCTGCTTTGACAACATGTGGTTGAAGGAGTCTATTTGCCGAGAAATTGTCACGTTTAGCTGGTCAAATACAGTGGGAAGGGAGTTACTGGACAGAGTTAATTCGTGTGGGGAGGATATTTGGAGGTGGGGCAGGAAGTTTAATAGGGATTTCTTGAAGAGAATTGAGAGGTGTAAACGCCAATTGGAGTTTCTACGCCCTCGCAGCGACCCCCAGGGTGTACGGGAATACAATAGGGTGGAGAGGGAACTTCTTACTTTGCTGGATCAACAACAAATCTTTTGGAAGCAAAGGGCCAAAGAGCATTGGTGGAGGGGCGGGGATTTGAACACGAAATTTTTTCACAACTCCGTCAAGACTAGAAGGAGAAGAAACAAAGTACAGAAGTTGCAGAATGAGAATGGTGTTTGGGTGGAAGGAACGGGTGCTGTGGGTGATGTTATGTTGAATTATTTCCAGCAGTTGTTTCAGGCACAAGATGGGGACATGGACGAGGTAATTTCATGCATTTCTTCTAAAGTCACTACTGTTCAGAATGCATGTCTCACTCGACAAGTTAGTATGGAGGAGGTTCGCGTGGCACTTTTCCAGATGCACCCCGACAAGTCACTGGGGCCAGATGGTTTTGGGCCGGGGTTCTTTCAACACTTTTGGGTTGTCATTGGGGGAGATTTAACCTTATTTTGTCGCCAGTTTGTGGAGACAGCCAGACTACCGAATAAGGCCAACGACACCTATATTGTTCTCATTCCTAAGAAAACACCCCCGGTCTCTATGAAAGACTTGCGCCCTATTGCACTCTGCAATGTCATATATAAGGTGGCGGCAAAAGTTTGTGCAAATCGAATGAAATCTTTGCTAGAAGGCCTCATATCTAGTGCCCAAAGTGCTTTTGTGCCGGGGCGGTTGATCACCGACAATATCATGTTGGCTTACGAGGCGCACCACTATCTAAAACGCAAAACACAAGGCAGGGAAGGGGTGGCCGCACTCAAGGTGGACATGAGCAAGGCTTATGATCGAGTAGAGTGGCGTTTCCTCCGAGCGGTTCTGTTAAGGATGAGGTTTGTTCAGAAGTGGGTGGACATTATTATGGAGACCATAAGCAGTGTCAAATACCATATCCTACACGAGCAGAGTCATTTGGGCCCAATTGAGCCAGGGAGAGGGCTCCGGCAAGGAGACCCGCTCTCTCCATATCTGTTCTTATTGGTGGCTGAAGGACTGAGTGCCCTAATAGAGGACCGAGAAAGACGTGGTCTGCTCCATGGAGTGAGGGTTGCTCGCGGAGCCCCCCCGATTTCACACCTATTGTTCGCGGATGACTGCTTTCTTTTGCTTGCGGGCCAGCATGTTAATTTTGATAAATCCCTTGTGTGCTTTAGCAGTAATGTGGCCCAGCAAACTCGGAGGGAGGTGGTCGGAATACTTGGGGTTCAGCAGGGTGAAACATCTGGGAAATATCTTGGCTTGCCATCTTTGGTGGGTCGGAATAAGCGCATGATCCTCGGGTTTCTGAAGGACAAGATTTTGAACCGGGTCCGCGGCTGGAATTCTAAATTCCTATCTCGTGCTGGGCGTGAGGTGCTCTTGAAAAATGTTCTACAGGCGATGCCATGTTACGCCATGATGGTTTTTCTGCTACCGGTGGGACTTTGTAATGATATTGAAGCAGTGTTGAATAAATATTGGTGGCAAGGTTCAGTTTCTAGTGGTCGAGGTTTGAGATGGAAATCATGGGCTGGTCTATGTGCACCGAAAGAAAAAGGGGGGTTGGGATTCAGACGACTAAGAGAGATGAACTTAGCTCTTCTAGGCAAGCAGGCGTGGCGTTTGCTTACGAGGCCTGATTCTCTGGTGGCGAAGGTATATAAATGTCGCTACTTTCCTAGGTGCTCCTTGTTTGAGGCCACTTCTGGGAGTAACCCCTCTTATGTTTGGCAGGGGCTATTGGAGGCCGTTAATGCTATCAAGGCTGGCTGCTATAGGAGTGTGGGCAATGGGCTTACTACGTACTGTAATTGGTGCTGACCCTTGGCTGCCATGCGCGGGGAACCCTTACGTGACTACTGCTTTGCACGAGACAATAAGGAGTGCTAAGGTGGCCTCCCTAATGAATGAAAACGGAACAGATTGGGATCATGATTGTGTGAAGGATGTCTTTAATACCCAGGATGCAACAGCTATTCTTAATATCCCGGTGAGTTACCGCCCGGTGAGTTACCGTAAACCTCATGATGCTTGGGTTTGGATGGGGGAGTCTAGAGGAAATTACACCGTAAAGTCTAGTTACAGAATGTTGATGGGTGAGTTTCAAGACGATAAACCTTGGCACTTAATATGGCGTCTGCAGGTACCCCCGAGAGTGAAGATTTTCTGCTGGCAATTGGCTATGTCAGTCTTGCCAACCAGTGATGCCTTAGCTACTAGGCGTGTTATCTGCAATGTCCAGTGTCACATGTGTGGAGCAACTCCAGAAACGGTGAAGCACATGTTCGTGGACTGTCCGGTTGTTGCTCCAGTATGGACTTCCATGGGCATACCGATGTCCACATACGCCCAAGGTACGGTAACTGATTGGCTCTTTAATCTCTTAGCTGCACGTGCGGATGATCTTAATTGTATGTTTGCCATGGTGTGCTGGGCTATATGGGGGAGTAGGAACGATCGTTTGTGGAAGGGGAAGGCTTTTGATTGTATGGCTGTTGTGCATGCTGCGGTCACTTTCTGGAAGAATTGGCGACTTGCTAACGACATGGAGCCAACTGATGCGGCCTTGAATGGTGATATGCCCAGCTGGAGAGCGCCACCGTTTGGCCGAATAAAAATGAATACGGATGTGGCGTTTAATGAGGATGCTAACGTAATGGGTATGGGATGGGTTGTGCGGGATCATGGTGGCCGGTTCTTGGCTGCAAAGGGGCTGTGTGTGCCGGGCAAGTATACGGTTGAAGTGGCAGAGGCAGTTTGTGTACGTGAAGCTTTGAGTTGGCTCAAAGGGACAGGAATGGGAGATGTGGATGTGGAGATGGACTCACAACAAGTTTTTTATGCTATACGCACAAACTCTTTTAATTCTGCTTTTGGTTTTATTGTTGATGATATTAAAGAAGTGGCTTCCACTATTGATGGAGTCGACTTCTATTTTGTTAAGCGATCTGCGAATCGTGCTGCCCACCTGTTGGCTCGGGAAGCCGTTTCTGTGTCAGGTTGCGGGGAATGGTTGGATCAACCTCCCTATTATCTTGCGGATTGTATTCTTTCTAAGTTAATACATTAAGCACCATTTTCCAAAAATAATTTCAAAATAATAATAATAATAATCGCACCTTTAACATTAAATAATAATAATAATAAATAATAATAATAATAATAATAATAATAATAAAAATAAATAATATATTATTTCATATTAAAAGCGCACTTTTAACATTAAATAATAATAATAATAATAATAATAATAATAATAATAATAATAATAATAATAACAACAACAACAACAACTACGTACTACACTACAATACTCATAATAATAATAATAATAATAATAATAATAATAATAATAATAATAATAATAATAATAATAATAATAATGCAACCAAATTCCGTACTACTAATAAACACTAATTTTTATTATTGTTGTTATAATTATTAATAATAAAATAAATACCAATAATAATAATAATATAATAATAATTATTATTATATTAATAATGATAATATTATTGCTAAAAGTAATATCACTATAGAATAAACCATAAACACTAATTATTGTTATTATTATAATTAATATTATTAACCTAAATACCAATAATAATAAAATAATAAAATAATAAGAATAATAACAACAACAACAACAACAACAACAACAACAACAATAATAATAATAATAATAATAATAATAATAATAATAATAATAATAATAATAATAATAATAATAAAACTACATGCTTCAAACAATATTATTATTATTATTATTATTATTATTATTATTATTATTATTATTATTGTTGTTGTTGTTGTTGTTGTTGTTGTTGTTGTTGTTTCATGCATGCAGTACGAATTAAGATATTATAATAATAATAATAATAATAATAATAATAATAATAATAATAATAATTGCGATAAAAGTTGTGGATAAAAGAGAAGAGAAAAGAGTTTTAATTGAAAAGCGTAAATTATGTCATTTCTTTAAAATAATAAAGATAAAGATGGGAAAAAAGCTAGAGAGCTAGGAGCTTATTTTGAAATGCTTAGTTAGCGTTCGTTCCAAAATAAGCTCTTATTTTAAGTTAAGAGCTTATTTTGGAACATTACCAAACAGAGCTTATAACTTATTAGTAGCTTAAAATAAGCTATAGCTTAATAAAAGTAATAAATATCTACTAATTAATAATACGATTTAAAATTATCAATCTAAGATCACTTATATTACTTCACATATGCATTCAAAAAATATTACTTCACATATTTAACCATACATAAGTTAAGAAGTCGGCTCATACGTCTATTACTTGATCAATCTCTTGTTGATTGTAGCTCTATCTACCAATTCTCTCAATGATCTACAAGTTGATAATTAATAAATAATTAGTAAGCTAGCATTTTTAAAATTAGAATGAGAAAGGTATTTTATTAAATTACTTGCCTTATTCATTCCTCTGCATGCACAGGGACGGAGCCAGAAATTCGATTAAGGGGAGGGGGGGGGGGGGGGGGCGAAAAAGTAGGACGGATTCAGAAATTTTTTCCAGTAAAAGCAAAACATTAAAACAAAAGAGATGATTTAAAAAAATAAATAAATTACCTAAGAATTTTTTTTATAACCATTACCTAAGAAATATAGTTGTAAATATTGTTGGATATGTGCGAAAAATAAAACACATCGAAACTTTATAAAAATGTTCATAACAAAATATTAAACATAATTAATTTGATAAAATAATTTGAATAGAAAATACATTATAAATTACACATATTAAATATTAAAAAAGTGACTGTGTTGAAGCCATAGGGGAAGGACTCAAAAATATGTAAAGGATTTAAACCCAAGACCTTTCCCGTTACCAAACACATGCCTTACCAACTAATCTAACTCCTTACTTGTTGACATTTACTAATTTTTTTATATTAATACTAAAACATATACTATATATACATATATACATACAAAGATTATATATGGGGTGGGGGTGGGGTGGGGAGGGGGGCAGCTGCCCCCACCCCCCTTTGGCTCCGTCCCTGCGCATGCATGCTTCTTTGGAAAAAAATTTCAAGCATGTATTTCATCACATAATACCCACATTTCGTACTTCCAACTTGTTGGGTACACTACATTTGAATTAAATTATATTTAAAATTTTATTTAATAAAAAACAATAAAATATGTGTAGTTTTACAAATGTATAAAATACTTACCAAAACTTTAATCCAATTTTGTGGACGAGTTGATTACTTTCCATTCAACAAACTTGTTGATTTCACTCACCTAAAATTATAAGAGATAAGTATACATAAATACTTTATGACATCATACCTTATTAATAATAACTATTAATACTTATAAGTTCACGTACGTTTCAAGCAGTAAAGCTCTTGTCGCTCCATCCATTCCTAGCTTTTAAGTTGAATAATTTCAAAACAGCAGATAACCGAGTAGTATATTTACTACACCTAGCCATAAAGGTTGTTTTGAATCATTTAATAATTCATCCAACTCATTTGATCGATTGGTGAACTCTTCTCCAACATCACGAAACATTTCCTCCACCCTATCTTCAGACTCATTATCTTCATTTGCTTCGTTGTCAACATACATGTTAGATGTACTAGTCCCTCATCCTCCTTCACTGTGCCATATCCATTTTGTATAACTTGGATTAATTCCATCACAAATTAGATGACCATATATGTCCCTTGCACCTAATTTTTTTTAGATTACAACACTTCTTACAAGGAAAAAAAAACATCCCATTATTATTTGGGAGATGACTGATGGGGTGAGAACCCCGGCCCAAGATGGGTTGGCCCAAGAAGGGAATCCAAGATAAGGAACGTGGGTTAGCAGTGAAAGAAGCCCAGTGGGGACTTGGGCCGAGTCCAGGAGTCGGCCCAGGCCCAAGTCCACGAAGGGACGGCTCAGAGCCGTTGGGCGAGCGTCGAGAGGCCTCATTTAAGAAGACCCGGCCCCGGAGCCGTTGGAGGCTTTTAAGGCAGGACTCGGTCAGACTGTTACGGATCCAAAGAGCCGTTGGCCGATCCGGTAACGGCACCCAACGGCTCGATAGTTGTAACTAGCCTTGAAGTCAGCCATTAATGGCCTTCAAGTCGGTAGGAGGGGAGCCTGCTATATAAAGGCTCCACCACCCTTGTAGTCTGGACAAGTTCATCCCAAGAGAGAGGGGAGACACACTGAAAGCTATTACGAGTTCTGCCATTTCTTTGCAATTTTGTGTGAAAGGTGAATCCACCAACTAAGGTTGTGTTGGACCTCCCTAGGCCTGAAAATCCAAAAACCAACACTGGCGCCGTCCGTGGGGATCGATACAAAGAGCTACGTGACTCTCTAAGCTAGGCGAGTCCCGAAGTCGGACAAAAAAGCGTCATAAACATGTCGGAAGGACGAGACCAAACAAACAACTGGAACAACGGGATAGAGGCAGATCTAAGAGACCAGTTGAACCAACGAAATGCTCAGAGCCAAGGAAACGAAACGGCACCGGTGAACCGGCAGCCGCCTATGATACCCCTAACCCCGGAACAACACCACGCGATCGGACGAGCCTTCGCCGACGCGAGTCGAGGAGTGAGGAAACAGTCGGTTTCTCGGCCGATGCCTCGCCATCAACAACTGTCCCAGAGGCCGGAAGACGGACAGGAAAATCGACGGGCGGAAAGCCAGCCAGTACGATCAGTCCACTCAAGGCTGGGTCTGAATGCTGGGCGGCAGACTGCGCAAGAACGACTAGGAGAAAGGGAGCCAGTCGCGCACCAGCAGGGCCCCGATATCGGGAAACCGATCGAGAAAGAGCTCGCACCAGGAAAACTAAGACTCGGACAAGACGCACCAAGCGAGTAACGCACAACGATGATCGACCGGCCCAATCTGAGGTCGGCGAAAGTACGGAATCCACAGGAAACCGCACTCACAATGAAGGCGACGTGGCCCAATTGGCCCGAGAAGAAAGAACGAATGGGGGGAAAGACCAAATCTTATGGGTAGACGTTGCTCACAGCTTTGCCGTTCTCTTCCGAGATCATGTCCTACAAAGTACCTGGCGACTTTAAGTTTCCGGAACAAGCCACCATCGACGGATCCGGAGACCCACGCGAACATCTGCTTAGCTATCAAGCCAAAATGCAGGTCTTGGGAGTGCGAGACCCGGTGATGTGTCGCGCATTTTTGCCCACGCTGAAAGGCTCAGCACAAAGATGGTTAGTGGCGCTGCCTTCCAAGTCGATCCATAGTTTCGAAGAATTGGCCGACCGCTTCATGAGCCACTACGCGGCCAACATCAAGTCTCAGAAGGACCTGACTCACCTGGGAGACGTTCACCAAGAGGAAGGCGAATCTCTGAAAACCTATCTAGCTCGCTGGCAGAAAGAAATCCAATCTATTGAGGAGGTCGAGGATCAGACTGCGCTCACCTTCTTCATCGAATCTTTACGGTCCGGTCAGCTATACCGAGACCTGAGGGATAACCGCCCGGCCACATACGCGGAAGCCATACACATGGCCAATAAAAGGGCCAACACGGAGCAAGCCATGAAGCACAAACGACAACGCGAGGTCGGAGGATCCGCCGGCGGGAAGAGAACGCAAGCCGAAACGAAGGAAAGGCGCCCAGAAGCGACCCGGCGACCAGATGTCAGACGACCATACGACAAGCCCGTCGCACACCCTTACCGGCCGATCCCCGAATGGCCAGTACATGAGATACAAGCAGTCGCTCCTCCCCCGCCTCCGCCGACTGACGACCACGCGATAAGCGATAAGGCAGGTAAGACTTCTAAATATTGTCGTTACCACAAGTCTTATACTCACAGCACGGAAGAGTGCTTCTATTTGAAGAAGATCATGGAAGGTATCATCCAGCAAAGGACCCCGCCTCCTAATCAGTGGAGGCGGAAGTCGGCTACTAGGGGAAACGGGGATCCCACCGCCGCCGAGGAGTGCAGCCGGGGCAAGCAGCCGGCTTCTGAAGAGGACGAAACCCAGTGGCGTCAAAAGCCAGTTATTAACATGATAGTCGGCGGGCCCGAGGGCGGCGACTCGGCGAATACCAGAAAGGCTTGGGCTCGACAGCTATACGTCGGGACGATATACGGGCGTGAAGAGAGCTCGAAGAAGGCGTGCCGAGAACCGATCACGTTCACTGACAAAGATCTACCCGTGGGAGAGACACCGCATCGGGACACATTGGTTATAGCGATGGATGTGAACGGAGTGGTTGTTCGGCGAATCCTGGTCGACACCGGAAGCAGCGTCAACGTGCTTTACCTCGAGACTTTTATCAAAATGGGATTGACCCGAGAACAGCTGAACCCCGTCAAAACTCCACTCGCCGGTTTCGTAGGGGACTCGGTGGAGGCAGAAGGATCCATCACTCTACCAGTCGAGATTGGCAGTTATCCCGACGTACAGAAACTCAGTATGAAGTTCATCGTGGTGAATCTGGCCTGTTCGCATAATGCTATACTCGGCCGACCAGGTCTGGAGGACCTAGGAGCCCTGATTTCCATCGAGCACCTTTGCTTGAAGTTCCGCACGCCCAATGGGATAAGGACGGTGCGTTGCGACAGAAGAGTCGCCCGCGACTGTTACCTACAAGCCTGTAGAGGAATGGGCAAGCGTGAGATGCAGGTCCATGAGATCACGGAAAGACCCCCAAAGAAGACGATGATACCTCGCCCTGAGCCGGCGGTGGAATTGGAAGAAGTCGAGATCGATCCCGATCAGCAGGATAGGCGGGTCCGAATTGGAGTCGGCCTCCCTGAGGAAGTACGAGAAGAGGTCATTAGAGTGCTCCGAGAGCAACAGCTGGTTTTTGCCTGGGGTCCGGAGGACATGCCTGGTGTCGACCGATCCATCATTGCTAATCGACTCGCCGTAGATCCCGGCCATCGGCCGATTGTGCAGAAAAAGCGATATCTCGCCAATGATCGGAGGGAGCTTGTGAAGAAGGAGGTGAGCACGCTGTTGGCTGCGGGCCACATTCGAGAGGTTAAATATCCAGAATGGTTGGCAAACGTAGTTCTCGTACCCAAGCCCCCGGCTTGGCGGATATGCGTTGATTACACCGACCTCAACAAGGCCTGCCGGAAGGATCCGTTTCCCTTGCCTCGGATCGATCAGCTAGTCGACGAAACCGCTGGGTCGGCCCTGTTAAGCTTCATGGACGCCTTCAGAGGGTACCACAAAATTTTTATGCATCCTGCAGACGAGGAGAAAACCGCGTTCCTGACACCGGATGGAGTGTATTGTTATCGAGTCATGCCATTCGGACTCAAGAATGCCGGAGCTACTTATACCCGGATGGTGGCCCGGCTATTCCAAGATCTGTTGGGAAAGTCCATGGCCGCATACGTGGACGACATGCTCGTCAAACGCCGGGAAGAGAGCAAGCACGCGGGGGATCTGGCCGACTGCTTTCAGGTGATGATAAGATATAACCTTCGTTTGAACCCAAAGAAATGTGCCTTCGTGGTGCAAGGCGGAAAATTTCTGGGATATATGGTCACCAAGCGAGGCATTGAGCCTAATCCTGAGAAGGTCCAAGCCATCGTGGATATGCAGCCTCCCAGCTCCGTCAAAGACCTGCAACGGTTGACGGGCCGATTGGCTGCCCTCAGTCGTTCCTGAGTAAGGCGGCGGATAAAACTATACCTTTCTTCAAGGCCATGAAGAAGAAGGAAGGCTTCGCCTGGACAGTCGAGTGCCAGCAGTCGTTCAAGGAATTGAAGCAATACCTTTCTACGCCTCCCGTGTTGTCCACCCCACAGGTGGGTGAACCTCTGTATTTATACTTGGCCGCCTCCCAGAAGGCGGTGAGCTCTGTGCTGGTCCGAGAAGAGGAACGTGCACAGCACCCGGTGTATTATGTGAGCCGCTCCTTGAAAGCCGCCGAGACCCGGTACACGGCCTTAGAAAAGATAGTTTATGCGCTGGTGATCACCGTGCGCAAGTTAGCGCCTTATTTCCAAGCCCACACTGTCCGAGTGCTGACTGATCAACCTTTGGGGAGCGTCTTGCGGAACCCCTCGTCGTCCGGTCGTCTGGTGAAGTGGGCCGTGGAATTAACCCAGTACTGGATCGAGTATCAGCCACGGCCTTCCGTAAAAGGCCAAGCCTTGGCCGACTGCTTGGTCGAATGCATAGCAAGTGAAGAAAAGAAGGTACGCACTTCGGAAGATGACTTCGGCGAATGGTGGGAGATGCACGCGGATGGAGCCGCCAGTCGACAACATTGCGGGGGTGGAGTCATGCTAATCACCCCAGAAGGATTCCGGCTGTATTACGCCCTGAGCTATTTGTTCCCAACGTCCAACAACGAGGCCGAATATGAGGCAGTGCTGAATGGTCTTCGGCTCGTCAAGGCCCTGGGAGTCGAACGATTGCGGATCAAAACCGACTCTAGATTAGTAGTTGGGCAGATCTCCGGCACGTGTGAAGCTAGGAACGCCCGGATGACCCTTTACAAAGAAAAGGCGGTGGAGATGTTAAAAGAGTTCAGGATACTGTCGGGAAGACAACGTGGAAGCCGACATACTGTCCAAGATCGCATTGGAAGGAGTGCCTGACCACCTCGTTAAGATTTGCAAGAAGGAAGAGCTGAGTCGGCCGAGTATCGAGGAGACGCCGTTGGAAGTCCAGCAGGTGACCCGCGCAGAATGGGATCGGGAAAAGAACCCCGAGATGTTCTGGATCGAAGATATCCGACGGTTTAAAGAAACAGGCGAGTTACCCAAAGACCCAGGAGTCGCAGCTAAGGTTCGACGGAAGGCCCCTTCTTTCCAAATCCTCGATGGACAGCTATACAAGCGGTCATTTGGAGGTCCTCTTTTGAAATGTCTGCTCAGGCCCGAGGCCGAGAAGATAATGGATGAAGCCCATAGAGGCATCTGCGCCGCCCACCAGGGTGCCCACACACTCGCCCGAAAACTAGTCGTCCAAGGATACTACTGGCCGACCATGATGCGGGATTGCATCGAGTGGATAGCAAAGTGTGGCGTGTGCCAAGCCTTCGCTATGAAGGACACGCGGCCAACCACCTTTTACACCCCGATCACCACGGCCATTCCTTTTGCTAAATGGGGAATCGACTTATTTGGACCGTTGCCAGTCGCCCCGGGAAGCTTGAAGTTTTGCGTGGTGGCCATCGATTA